TTGGTGAAGCTGTACCGTTGGAATGGCTGGCTCGGTTTCGTGTCGGGTTGTTTAATCTTTCCTCCCCAGTGCTTGCTTTTAAATATTTGTTTATTTATTTATTTAAGCAGCTGCTGCTTCTCCCTCTTAAGGCGGGATTCGCGTTTTGGGCTGCTGAGGGTTTTTCAGGTGCTCCCGTGTTGTCCCTAAGAAGGGGACCATGTTCCTCTGAGGGAAGGGTCATTGACAGTCGTCGTGGGATAGCTGGCTTCGTCCTTGAGCTGGCTTGCTCAGGCCGGTGACTTATAGCGAGAGGGACACGATTCAGTGGCAACAGCCCATGCAGGCGAGACAGCGTCCAATCTTCCAGCTAAGTGGGGGGGGGGAGAGGATCTGAGGTAATAAGGAGTTGAAAGGAACCTCATTTGATACTTTGATGGCAGCCTCAGGGGCCAGCGGGGCCCTCCAGATGTGCAGATGTAAAACTCACACAACCCTCCGCTATCATAGGATTGTGTAGGATGATGGGTGGGTAGGTCAGGACATCTGAAGAGCCTCAATTTTGGAGGAAGCTGCAGCAAGACCATACCGGACAGACGCTCCAGAAGGAGCATTTTACCATAAGCCAGCATGCATAGTGCCTTACAGAAGAGTATGTCAGCGCTGCTCGTGTAGAAAACAAAAATGTACTGTATTCTGTCTCACACTTAAGAGAACATTTGATTGATTTTACCATTATTATTTTTTTCTTCCCAAATGAAGCAAAGCATGTAGAAAATGTTAAGCACAGTGTTCCTGCATTTGGTAAAGAAGCTCTTCTGTGTAGGAAATACTGTGAAATTGGCACATAGGCTATGTGCATTGTAAGTGTTGTTTTATGAACTTTGAGAGTTTATAACGGAGAAAAGTGTTCAGAGTTTTTGCAGCTTCCCAGCAAGTAGATGCAAAACCAGATATGTCTGTGGGATTATTCTGTAGGGTATCTACATGCAAGGTTTGTGTTTTCCTTATGTGGGAATGTATAGAGTGATCCTGAGAAAAATTGGGGCGGGGAATTAATACATTAACTGTACATATAATTTTATATGTTTCATTTTGCACTTCCAAGGTAGCGCTACAGTCGTGGAGCTGTAAAAGACTAGTTGTGGTATTTTGTACCATGTGTTGGGAAGGTCTTATGTAATGTCATAGGTGTTAAATATCATGGGGTTGGTGCAAAGCACCATTTACAGTCTGCTAGAAATTATTTGGCCTACATTGTATTTTTAATCCCAGCTAAAGTAGACCTGAATTAACTATTGAGTGATGCATCAACACTTATCTCAAATCTCTTTGGTTTTTTGAGTGTGTTTTAGTTGAGATTTCTGATAGGATCCTAGCTTTAATGTTATGGCAGCAGGATCTGTACGCTTGCTCATTCTCGAGCATAATGTTCACTATGCAACTGATACTGACCTTTTTCTAACACTCTCTTATGACCAGCAAACAAGGCGAGACTTGTCAGCTGAGGCAAATGGATATATCTGATATGCTAGGTCTTTCTTTCCATTGTAGCTATGACGACACATCCCAACCTAAGAAGCCCTTAAACTTCTTCCAGCCTATCCTCTTTTTGTGACAGGCATTTGGTGAAGCAGAAGAAGTGCTGGATAGCTCATTGGTTTAGGCATCTGGCTTCTGAGCCAGAGGTTAGAAGTTTGATTTCCTCCACTGTGCCTCTTTGACAGGGGATGAACTCAGTGATCCATGGGGTCCCTTCTAGCTCTGCAGTTCTAAAATTATTATTATTAATAATAAAGAGAGGAGAGCAGAGAAAGATTTATTCTTTACCAACTCATGTTGTCATTCTCAAATACTGACGATGTTTTCCACCTATGGGTGCAAACACTGAACCCTCAAGTAGCAATCAAGTGCGATCTAGGGGGTTGCTGTGATCTTTCCTACGTAGCCTACCTATCGGGTCTGTGACCGTATAGTAAAGATTAAATTGAATTGAGAATCTCCCTATATGTAGCTGTTTCTAAAATCTAATAAATTGAGTCTGGACAAAACTTACATTAAACACCATCCTGAGTCTCCTTGTTGATTCTTACTTTGTAAACTGTGCTGCTAACGCTATCTGTTCTGTGCACAGCTTTTCTGAATTGAGTGAGTGTGTTTTTTAATGGATGTGTATGATGGAGCTTCTGTCTAGAAGAGGGTTTTTTTTTTAAAGAATATTATTTTTTGCCAAAATGGTTATCCCTCCTTCCACAGAAATAATTGAGAGAAATTGTGTGGTATATATGTATGTATAATATGTATGCATTGTGGGTGTTTCTTTTTAAAATACATGTCAGTTCTGGTTAGAGGCAAGCCATGCTTGCTTATATTTTCAAATGAAATGCTTACATGTTTGCACCCTTCTTCATTACAGTACTTTTAATTTGCATGTATTACATCACGTCATACCTTTGTCAAGAATAAATTAACCTGGTCTGGCTCAGTAATATTTCACTTGATAGTGGACACTACAGGCATCACATTTCAACTTTATAATTCCTCCATAAAGCAATAGAATTCTGAAACACTTTAGTATTATGTAACTTCTAAATTAAAAGGTGTTTAAATAATGAGTGTTGAATTATGTGTCTCTTGTAATTCACCACCTTATAACCTTTGTTTTTTTCAATTTTGAGTCATCATGCCAACATTGATATTACACTGGCACTAAATGGTGGGCAAAATTGTTTTCCTGAGAGCATCAGAAGAGCATTTGTTGGTTACAAAGGTGAACTTTTCCCCCTATACTGTATATACATTTTCTAAGCTACTTCTTTGAAGGGCTGGGAGGCACAGTGGGTGTAGCTTACTCAAATATTGCTTTAGGTTTCAAGGGTAAAGAATGTAGATCATCTCATGCAGTTGTGTGATGGGTACACATAACACTTTGGGTGTTTTGTGTCCATTATAAGTAAGTGATTTAGATGCCATGGAGGTATATAAGAGAGATACAGTGGGGTCTTGACTTGAGAACTTAATCCGTATTGGAAGGCGGTTCTCAAGCCAAAAAGTTCTCAGGTCAAATCTGCATTTCCCATAGGAGTGCATTGAGAACCATTTGATCCGTATCTGCTCTTTTCCGTCCATAGAAACTAATGGGAAGCTGCTATACCACCTTCGACCACTAGAGGGGGATATTTTGTTTCTTTTTTTCTTAGGTCAAGAAAGGTTCAGGGAAGGCAGGGAAAATACAGTCCAGGCAGTACCAGGCAGTCTGAAGACGCCCAATCCACTCTCTAAACGCTGGGAGGAGTGAGGAAGCAGACAGGCATCCTTTTCACTGGCCAACAGTTAACTGAAAGTTCACATTTTGCACTTTCCCTGCCTCCCACGTGGTTTTTTTTCAGTTCTTAAATCTAAGTATTTAAGTCAAGTCAATATTTTCCTATGAGAGCAGTTCTTAAGTCAAAATGTTCTTAACTCAAGCCGTTCTTAAGTCAAGACCCCACTGTATGGGTATAGGATTTTGAGTCAGAGGTCTCTTGTAGTTAAGCCCATGGGAGAGAAGCATGTACCTTTCTACATAACTTTCCCAGTCTACATATTGCTTTCTTGTGTAGTGGTAGAATATACCAGATGGGCAGGATATAAATCAAATAAATAAATAAATAAATAGTACAGTAGTTGAAATCCTATTCTGTTAAGTTAGACCACATAGGCTGTTCATGTCATAAACCCTGGCAATTTTTCAGAATTTTTGCTCCACCAAAGGCCCTGAGGTTCCAGTAGACTTCTTTCAACATCAGGAAAATACTGGTAGCCACATGACATGGGGGGATGGAGCCGGAAATATTTTATGTCCCAAAAATTGCCACAGTTAATGATATAATTACCCTTGCATGGTGTAGCTACATGGACAGGATTTCAGCCTTTGATATTTTAAGGACAGGACCTTCCAAAAAGTATTTGGAATGTAATTGTTGTCTTTGAAAATATCTGGCAATGTTGTTCTAACACACTTTCCATGCTAATCCCCTTTTCCCTCAACAAGCTTGAAAACAAACTCTTTCTTTTTGGTATTGCTCACAGAATGGCTCAACAGCAAGCACTGAGATTTCGTGGTCCAGCTCCACCACCAAACACTGTCATGAGAGGGCCACCACCTCTTATGCGTCCTCCTCCACCATTTGGTATGATGAGAGGACCGCCGCCACCACCACGGCCTCCTTTTGGACGTCCCCCGTTTGATCCAAATATGCCTCCAATGCCACCTCCTGGAGGAATTCCTCCACCTATGGGACCTCCTCATCTACAGGTAAAAATATTTTTTCTTACTTTAATAGATTCCATTTCATAGGTAAGATATGAAGTCACCCCTTTAGTAGTAGTAGTTTGTCCAAAAGTTAATACAGCAGAATACCCTTATCCATGGGGTTACTTATCAACAGTATAAAAATATTAAAAGTATTTAAAGAAAAAAATCCTTAAAAAACTATTTTACGAGAATTGGCCACTAGGAGCCAGCGACCATACTATAAATATTTGTTAGTGAAGAATACATAGCATGGTCTCTGTAACCCTCTCGTAGCCAAGTCTGGTAATGCATGTGAAAATATATTTTTCTGTCCACCCCCCCCCTTTACTATTCTCTATATAGCATTCGCTATTATCCGCAGTTTTCACTATCCATGGGGGAGGGCTTGGAACCAATCTGCATTGGATATTGGAATCCTGCTGTGCAGGTTGTCTGCTCTTAACATATTTGAAGTATCCTTTATCATTCAGCTTCCTTGTTTGATTGCCTGCATAACACTTTTTGTCTGTTCCCTTTGTTTTTAAGAATAGTTCATAGCCTTGTGGCACAGTAGTTAAACTGCAGTACTGCAGCCAAAAGTAATTGCTGCCCAGAGTAGACTATTTGTCTAGATGGGTGGGGTAAAACTCTAATAAAATAAATACATAAATAAAAGTGCTCTTGTTCTGGGTTCAATCCCAAGTAGCTGGCTTAAGGTTCTATTAGTCTTCCATCTCTCTGAGGTTGGTAAATTGAATTCTCAGCTTGCTGGGGAAGCGGCAATGTGTAGCCTACATAATTAAATTGTAAACCACATGGAGAGTGCTTTATGCATTATGTGGTGGTATTTAAGCAGCACATTTTACTTGTTTTGTCCCTGTGCCTTTTTTGAGCATTTCTTCTGCCAGTTATTTGACAACTCAGTTGCTCAGCCTTTTTCCAGGCTTCTGGTTTCTCCATTCACTGATCCGAATCATGTTATTTACACCTACCAGTGTAACTCCATCAGTGATAATGTTGTTTCTGACCCACAGTACCTGCATCACTTGGAGCCTGATCAGAAAAACCAAAGCTGACTTCTTAAATGATAGCAATTTGCTGTTGAAAGTTATGCTGATGGAGTTACGCCAGTGTACTTATGTAGTAGGAATCTATTTCCAAAATATATTTGTTTTTCAGCCCTCTGTTTTCCTCTACTTGGACCTTATTTATTTGCTGTGTTATTTTGTTCTCCTTTCTCACCAATAATAGGACTCTAAAAATAAAATAAATAAAACGAGTAAAGATTAAGCACATGAATCAGAGATTAAAGCATTAGATATTAAAAGCAATTGAAAACAGTGATCTTGCCATTTCTTGTTCCCGATTTACTGTTAGTTAGTTTTTTTAAAAAATTACCCTACCTTTTTCCTTAAAAGAAGTGTTTTCTTTAGCTTTTATCTGTTTCCTTGAATGCTTCGAATGTTTGTAAACATTCTGTCATGTCCTTGAGGTTGGCTCATGGAAATGATTCCCCAGCAAATGTTTTGCGTTCAAAATGTATCATTATGATATAGTGATGTTATGTTGTAATAATTATCCAGTGGCAAGCTTTAAGAACTTGAGGAAGTATTACATTGCTATTGAATGTCTTGTCTAGGGGGACCTGCAAGGCTCCACATTATATGGAGCAATATTCAAGCACATCTTCATTTCTCCAGCTATACTTGTCTCCTTTTGGATTGTGCTTATGTTAATGTGAGATTTTGTATGTTTTATTATAGTAGGTTACATAGTTATTTCAAGTCTACTTTGATATCTGATGTTACCTTTTATTTAGATTTTGTAAATAGTTGAGACAGACATTTTAAAAAGGTCATAAATAAATTATGTGTCAGTGGTGCAATATCTGTACCTCTCCTCATCTCAAGATGTTGTCATTGGTAGGGAATTTACTAGTAAACGTAATAGAATGTTTTTGCTGCAATTGTTAACAGAATACTTTTATAAACACCAGGCTGGTAGCTGTGGGAAGATTATTGTGAGAACTGAGTTAAAATCTTCTGTGAGCAGTCTTGTTGTGATTTTTTAAGGCCAGTAGGAAGCTAAATAAATATTCCTAAATGGCTTGACCTTCCCACTTCATTAATAATGGGGAAAATAATTTCTTTTGTAAACTGCTTGGGCTTCAGATTTATTACTGACTTTTACTAAACAGTTGTTTCTTGGGTGGGAAGTCACTTTTTCCCATCATGAGGATGCTTTGTTCCATCCTCTGCTGCTTATGCTTGCAGTGACTACCTATTTGTTCTTCTTTAAATATAATTTTTTAAGACAAAGATATACAGAAAAATGTTACAAATTTTAGTTTTTTCTAAATAATGTGGTTATAGAGTTGGAAACATATATATTGGAAACATAAAATGTTTTAACTGTTTTTTATTATTATTTGTTACTGTAAATAATTATAGAGACCACCTTTCATGCCTCCTCCGATGGGTAATATGCCACCACCTCCTGGTATGATGTTTCCTCCAGGGATGCCACCTGTCTCTGCTCCTGGAACACCAGCTATGCCACCAACTGAAGAGATTTGGGTAGAGAACAAAACTCCAGATGGCAAGGTCAGGTTCATGTCTAGTAAAATAGCAGTACTGGTGTGCTGTGTTGGATTTTTTTTATTATAAGAGTTGTATTACGCAAATTGTAGATATTATATTCTAGGAGGTTTATTATAAAAATTATATAGGTTTTTGTGCATGGCAGGAAAGGAAGCTGAACACGTTCCATATGTGTTGTCTCCGACGCATTTTTGATATCACCTGGCAGGACAGAATTCCAAATAGAGTAGTCCTAGATCGAGCTGGAATTTTTAGCATGTATACATTACTGAAACAGTGATGTCTACGTTGGCTTGGGCATGTTGTGAGAATGGCTGATGGATGGATTCCAAAAGATGTCCTTTATGGAGAATTAGTGCAGGGAAATCGCCCCAGAGGGAGACCACAGCTGTGATACAAGGATATCTGCAAGTGGGATCTGAAGGCCTTAGGAATGGACCTCAAAGGATGGGGAACCCTGACAGCTGAGCATTCAGCCTAGAGGTAGGTGGTGCAGCATGGCCTCTCCCAATTTGAAGAGACCCTTGTCCAGCAGGCCTAGGCAAAGAGGCAGTCCCAAAAGCAGCAAAACCAGGGAGCTGGACAGGGGACAGATTGGATCTGTCTTCAGTGTGGAAGGGACTGCCACTCTTGCATTGGCCTTCTCAGCCACACTAGACGCTGTTTCAAGACCTCCATACAGAGCACGTTACCATAGTCTCTCGAGACTGAAGGATGCCTAAATAAATAAAAAAATCATAGGTTTTTAACTGATAAGATGAAAGTGGTTGGATTATGTAAAGTCTTTTCAGAACACTAAAAATATTTATTTGATGTTTTAGTGTGAATTTAGAGAATGAATTGAAGAATGGGATGTATGTTAATTTAAAATTGTCATTTCCCTTCACCCAGGTTTATTACTATAATGCCCGAACACGTGAGTCAGCGTGGACCAAACCTGATGGAGTGAAAGTTATTCAGCAGTCTGAACTAACTCCAATTCTAGCGGCCCAGGCTCAGGCCCAGGCTCAGGCTCAGGCCCAGGCCCAGGCCCAAGCCGTGGCTGGCTCCACACCTACTACTAGTAGTCCTGCATCTGTAGTTTCTCCATCTACATCATCAAGTAGTCAGTCCTCTACAACATCTACTGCTACTACCACAGCAACATCTGTTTCTCAGACAGTTTCCAGTGAGTAAATTTTGCATGATGTAGAAATGGCAATATTTAAGTCTTCAAAAATAGTTTTACCAAGTAGCTTTTTGTTACTTCTCTTAATGATGTATTTCAATTGCCTGCTCCCTTTTCCTTATTTCTCTTCATCCAATCTCTCATCTTTTGTATATAGAGGATCATGTAAAAGAAACGGAAGAGACTATGTCACATGTGTAAAAGTAGCTCTCTGTTGGATACCTCTTGTTAAATCGGTGTTATATTTTAGAGGTATATTAGACACAGAGTTATATGTGTGCAAATGATTCAGGAGCCTGGAGGGCTGTTGGCATTCTGCTAATCTGTGCTTACATGGAGGCAGTATGGAAGAGCAGATGGCTCACACGCACAGTTTGTACTGTGAACACCTCAGTTTTTGTGGTGACTATCTATATGAAGGATCTGCTTAAACAAAGGAAGTGAAATCATGAATGTATTTTGTAAAAATTTAAACCAAAAAGTTAAATTGCTTTAGTCAAAGTGATTTTTAAAGAAATAGTGGGAAGTTCCTTTAAGATGTTTATTTACTTTTGACCAAATATATGAAGAATGAGATCCCATATGTATATGTTGAGTGAGTTAATTGGACAATACCCCATAAAATCCACTTTCTAAAGCAAGTTCCCTTCTTTTTCTGACAATAATTTTCATCAACAGGAAGGTAAATGGTCCTCTATTTGTTGCACTTCTGTCCATGATTTTACAGTAATCCCACTGTTAAATCAGGTTGCTGGCACTGTGAGCTCATTATATCAACAGAGAAGAGAGAAAATAATTTGCTTGTCCACTTACCTGCAAGAATCCTCTTCAGAAGCTATAGGGAGAGTTGTACCTTCTCTGTGTGTTTGTTATTAAGGGAGTTTTTACAGAAAGGCATGCAAGTGATGACTTGTTATGTACTGGCAGATCACTGCTGTGATTTATATCACACTAATACAGTGGTGCCTTGCTTAACGATGATAATCCGTTCCAGGAAAATTGACGTTAAGCGAAAACATCGTAAAACGAAATTAAAAACCCCATTGAAACTCATGGAAACCGGTTCAATGCATTCCAGTGCGGTAAAAACTCACCGTCCAGCGAAGATCCTCCATACAGCGGCCGTTTTAACCGCCTATATAGCGAGGAATCCGTTCCTAAACACAGCGGGGAGCCATTTTAAACACCCGGCAGGCATTTTGAAAACCCGACGGTCAGCTGTTTTTGATCATTGTAGAGTGAAAATCAGTTCCCGAAGCAAGGAACCAATCATCACTAAGCAAAATTCCCCCATTTAGACCACCGTTTTGCAATTGCAATCGCAAAAAGATTGTCGTAAAGTGGATACGTTGTAATGCAGGGCAATTGTTAAGCGAGGCACCACTGTATTAACACTTAGCAGGATTCCAGCTCTTCTTTTATTGATTTAAGTATGAGAACCTTACAAGCAGCGTCCTTTTTTTATTAATAGCATGCAGTTGTACTTACATTTTATGAAAGTTAAATTTATCTAATATCTTAATCAGCTGCAGCACAAACAAGTTCTATTATACCGTAAAATAGGGGTAGTCAACTTCCAGAGGTCCAGGGACTGTGTATATTATGGTGCACACTGTCATTTTGTGGTGTTTTGGCTTCCTCTGACCTGTTTTAGGTGCTGAGGAGCTCTTAAAAAAAAAAAAACTGGGGAAAACCAGGAGTCACTCTGGTTTTGGACAAAGACCCCGCCAGCACATGAAACAGGTCAGAGAGTTGAAAAAAGTGGCAGAGTTCTGCTGTGCTCCCTGGAAATTACAAGAAAGCTTGCAGGGATTGGAGTGTACATTAGGATACATGTGGCCCACAATCTGTGCTTAACCTATCTTTGGCCTTAAAAATTAACAAGGGTTATTCTATGTGAAACTTTTGTGGACTGTTGATCTTTTAATGAGTAATATGGAGTTTAATCTCCGTAGGCAGATAAATGTTTTATTTCCTATCTATAATAAAATCCTATTTTTTTCTAGTCCTTCTGTTTTCTTTATAACATCCAGGGTGTTTGCAGACGACTATAATATTGATCTTTAGTGTGATAATATTTTTATTCCTTTTCTAATAGTTACCTTCTTGAATTCTTTAGCTGTATTTAGCTTTTAAATATGTAGTTGTCTCAAGTCTCCTTATTGAGAGAAAGATGGAATGTAAAGGAAATGAATGAATGAACAACAGAGAGTCATACAGAAACCTAAACCTAACATATTTTA